AGGGGTACCTCTGCGGATGTGTATACTTTAACTTAGCTATTTCAATGAGCCATTTCAATGCTAAATTATATGTTAATTCCTTTGTCAAGGCGCTTGGTGTTTTTCTTCTCACACAGCTTAAAGGTCGTGATCTAAGCGTGGCTTCTCCCACTCCAGCGCTGTCCTCCAGACAGTCTCGTCCCTTCACCTGATGAAGGCCACTTGTGGTGTGGCCGAAACGTCGTGATTTTTTGTTATTTTATTTTCACCTACGTGACTTTACCCAATAGAACCAAAGAGTATAGTATCTTTTTCCTCATGACATATCCAAAAAAGATATCTAAATTGCCTTTCTCAGAACTGTGTGTATGCATTAACTTCACGTTGTGAATGCGGCTGCGGGTGGTTTTTGAGAGATTAGGCACGGTGGATTTGTATCGGACTTTTTGAAAGTTCGAGGGAAGTGCGTTTTTTTTTATTATTCTGGGCCCCTTATCCCCGGTCCTGGATTAATAGTGGCTTCATTGCACCTCACCACAGGGCCAGCCACCGAGTTTCATTTCTGGCTTAGTCTAAATCGCACACTCATATGTTCATATGGTATTCTACTCAGGTCTTCTCCATGGCCCATTTACATGCATTCTTCTTATTCCGCTTAGCGTTTGTAAAAAGCAGCAGGCTAAGATTGTATCTGTGTGTGTGTCAGGTGGGGAGTGGGAAGCGGGAGTGGAGCGGTTTGCGTGCTGCACGACTAACTCGGCAACGCTCGCTCACGGCCAACACCAGTGACAATTATCTGAACCAGTCCTCCCTTAGGTCGACTCAGCCTCAAATTAGTACCTGGTGTAGTGTGTAAACATCGCCACTAGGGAGACAAAGGCGGCCGGACGTGGTGCTGGCCACCCACCCCCTTGTGTGCCCTTCCGGCCTTTATAGTTGCTCGCAAACAGCACTTGCCCCAGCTGTCCCTTAAGGCTATACGGACGATCGTTGTCTTTTGTTGCGATCCATTCCACGGCAGCATCCGCGGCGGAGTAGGCCGCTTGTTTCACAAAAACACACACGCGGTTATAGTTCCATTTATAGTTTCTAGTTCCATTTATTTGGTATAGCCCTGTGAGCCATTCGGCTCTTGAATCGGGTGCAACCGCAACAAACAAAAAACAAAAACATGATTATGGGGGCGGTCATCGGTGATGGATCGATGGTTCCCACCGCACCCCATTCGTAGTCGGGCGGAGGCCTTGATTGTTTAGTTGGTGGAGGAAATATCCCCCAAGCCTTCTCCTTGCACGTGTGGTGGTTGGGAGAACGGTCCCAACTGTCGTGGGGGCACAGAGAGAGACCAAGGTATATACATTGGTCGGTGAATTAGCTCAAATAATATACATATCTCGTGCATTGTAGGTTTCACAATAAAAGCAGAAGTTTCAAATAAAGATTAAGGGGCCACACCAATGCGCCATATATACCATCGCCACGTGGTAGCGCCTTCACCGCTTGCAGCAGAAGTTCTCGGTTCAATTCTTGAAGCCCACCCCGGTTATTACTGCGGTGTGGTAACCACTGAATACGGGCTGTCTGCTCCACAGTGGACGTTAAAGATCCCCTTATATAATTCTAATTGAGTATTCTATTGCATGCTGGTGGCGTCACAGTTCAAATTTGCCACGTTATATATAAAAAAAAACATCCACAAATCACTCGATTCGCATGCAAAGTATACTGTACATCGCCATTATTTTTTTAATATATTCAAAAGTTATTTCTTTAGAACCAAATGTTGCGTTTAGTTTATTGTCCTTCCCCAGGCACCTCCGATGAGCACAGTTGGTTAGATACGGTGCGAAAGGAGTTCAACATACAAACGTACAATCATCGTAATCTACTGCTAAATCTTGGCAGCACCCTCCTGAAAAAAAAGCCACGAGTCCCAGTGAGGTTTGTGTAATAAGTATTTTTTTTTAAATCCTGTCTCACATCAACTAAGAGTTAAAAAAACCTGCATCGTATCTGCACAGTGCACATCTTCATGTATGAAGAATGAAAGGACAAGCCACAGTTGTGCGATTGTGGCCATGCAAACCAGACTATGGACCATATCGTTAACCCAGAAACTCATAAAGATACAGAGACCCATAGAGATTCATAGAGATACATAGTTGCGCAATTGTGGCAATGCAACCCAAACAATGGACCATAAAAGTAAACCACTCAAGAAAAGAATTGCAACTAAATGTAGTGGGAAAACCCGGAGGACCCACCCGACTACGGGGAGAGAGACACGCAAACTCCAAATATACAGGCATCAGGCTCGGGATCGAACCCACGATCTCCTGTATACCAGGCGAGGGAGTTAACATCTTGCCACCACGGACGCTCACGTTTATGTGCTGTGAAGGGTCTTTGTTTGAAACGTCGCCTATTGTACGTTTTTAACCATATAAGCAGACGATACATCTTCTTTCCATATCTCTCTCCACGTCAAAAAAACAAGTGTTTTGTACACTTCCCAGGGACCAACCACGTGGCCTTGTGAGGGTGCATAATGTCATCAGTATTTATTCAGTGAACTTATTTCGGCATTCAGTGTCTCATCAGGAGATTTGGGCACGCTTGCATTGGGGTCAACACAAGCAAACTGGAGGATTTTTTTTTGCCAAACAGTGTCTCATCAGTCGCCCTTGCTGGGACAATTGACTCAACATAAGCAAAACTCTGAACCGGTTTCGATATTCCATGAGTCAGCAGTGAGCGTTGATCGAACCAATGCTAAGTTTGTCACGTAAACAAAACGTGCCAATTAGTTACTACTTCAGCATACCGGTGTATTGGAGAGTAAACCCAATACACCGGTATGCTCGAAGTTCCGCTGGCGATTACAACAACAACCAGGTTCACCAAGTGATTCGCCAGAATTGTGAAGAAGTCCTCCTGTTTCGGTGTTAAATAGAGCAAAGGTGATGCCACCACTGTGAAGACCAGATGGGGAGCTGTCAATGTCCATTTATATTTTATGCGATCTAACACAAAAACCTCTATTATGGATAAACCAATGCTGAACTTCTAGATATTTCATTTTGGGTTCGATATATATCAAAACGCATGTATGATGGATATTGGTCGCAAAAGGCAAGCGTGTTATACTAAACCAATGCTTAACACGTAGGCTTTCACGACCAATATTGTCTATAATAGTTTTTTTTGGGGTTAGATCGTGATAAACCAGTTCAGCATTGGTTTATCCGTAATCAAAACCCTGCACCATAGGGCCCACTGCATTTCTGACCAACGCCACCTGGCCAGTGAGCTGGAACACGTACGCTGGGTCCTCAAGATGGATGGATACTCGGACCGTATTATCCGCAAAGTTGTCTCTCCAAACATGGAGAAACAACCCCCTGAGACGCCGATCAAAACCATCACGTTACCATACATAGCAGGCGTTACCAAAAAGATTGCTAAAATCTTAAACAAACACAAGATCCAGGTCCGATTCAGTACTGTACACAAAATCCGTGATCTAATCCCATCTGTGAAGGATGTAATTCCTGACTTGCAATACCCTGGAGTCTACAAACTAAGTTGCATCTGTTGTGATTGTTACATTGGGGAAACGAAACGTCATGTCTCTGGCCGGATCCGCGAGCATAAGTCAGATCTGAAACACGGCAGAACTAATTCCTCAGCCGTTGCTGATCATTGCTATAACGCTGTGGGCTCCCATGATATTGTTTTCTCCGAGACCAAGGTACTCTGCAAGCCGTCTGGCTACCATCAAAGATTTGTTCATGAAGCCATCCAGATATATAGACATAACTTCAACCGAGGGGACGGATATAAATTGAGCAATCATTGGAAAGATGTTATTAACCAAGTAAAATATAACTGTTCATAGTTGTTCCATCTTATTTACCGGGTATTAGTCTATTTTACCGAGTTAATTGCATCCTCAGCGTTCAGCAGTGCGGCTATTTTGCTTTGGATGTCATCATCTATCTTGGCAGTAATCATGTTGCCTTTTGACTCTCAGCGTCTCTGCTGTACTTGCAGTGTACACACTCCTCGCCCCCCACTACCCTCCCCCTCTCTGACTTATTTAACTGCCCTAACCCTGGTCTCTCTCCCACTTTATTAAAACATTCCTTGCTGTGGTTGTCACACCTGATGATGATTGCTTGTGTCGCAATCGAAACGTCCTGATTTTTTTTATTGTTTTTATTTTTTATTTATTATTAACTTTTTTCACCTACGTGACTTTACCGAAAGAACCAAAGAGTATGCATAATAGAGGTGTTTATGGGTTAGATCGTTCTAACCCATAAACACCTCTTAACCCATTAAAAAACCTCTTATGGATACACCGATGCTGGATTAGATCGATCTAGCCCATTAAAAAACCTATATTATGGATACACCGATGCGGGATTAGATCGATCTAACCCATAAAAACATCTTATGGACAAACCGATGGTGGTTTAGATCGATCTAAACCATAAAAAAAACCTCTTGTGGATAAACCAATGTTGGGTTAGGGGCCGTCCATAAATGACGTCACGCACCTGGTGGGGGGGGGGGGTCAGACATTTGTGACGATGTGTGACGAGGTGGGGGGGCTGAGAAATGTGACGTCACATCGAAATGCGCAACTTTAAATAGATAACACGTTCTACTTACTTAAGTATACTTTTAAAATAAATGTTTTCTCCTACAACATCAGAGTGCAGCGCCACATTAAACACGCACTACAATGACAATAGTTCAAAGCGATTTGAAGCATGTTTTATTTTTTGGGGGGGGGGGCAGAGCTTTGTGACGTCATGTTTGAGGGGGGGTCTGACTTTTTGTGACGCCGCGTGACGAGGGGGGGGGGGTTAAAAAAATCGTCCAAAATCGCGTGACGTCATTTATGGACGTCCCCTTAGCTCGATCTACACCATTAAAAAAAACCCTATTATTATTATTGACATAAACCCGATGCCGAACTGCCAAGATATTTTGACACGTCCCCGTGACGAGACCACGTGCTCCTCGCGCGGCCAATGAGCGCGCGCCGGCACCAGGCGGCACGGGAGGTGAGGGTGAGGCGGCGCGCGCTGAGGGCTCTGGACCCCCCCCCCCTCTCAGGCCTCCCCACCGGGACGATGTCGGCAGCCCACCCGAGGTCGCGGCCCCGCGAGGCCGTGAGCCGCGTGCGACGCGCGGCACACGCCGTGCCGCCGCTCTTCGCGCTCATCAACAGCATCGGGTTCTTGGTGAGACGCTCCCGCGGCTCGAGAGGGGGTTGCGGCGGGGGAAATGTGGTGGTGACGTGCGCGTGACGTCACGCGTGCCGGAAGCGCGGGTTGCCATGCGCGATGTCGTCACGGCAACCCGATGCGTTGTGACGTCACGCGCGTCAAGTGTCGTGACGTCACAGCGAGTTTGCCCGGTTGTGAAGTGACGGCGATCTCGATATATCGCGATGTTACAATACTATATATCGCGCCAACGATATTAAATCCGCGATATTGTACGTTTTGTTAAATACTGCATCGTGAGTATAATTACCAATCAATGTCACTTCTTGCGATTAAATTACAAAAAAATTAAGCTGGGCAGAATGAGTAGCGATACCCTGAATTGGTATATTGTAACGGTGTTAGAATAATGACACACTCGTCAATAATCCTGCTTGTGGCTTTAAAAGAAAAGCGATGTTTGATATAGGTGACGTATCGGCAAATAGCCCTTACTTCATAGCACGTTACAAACCCTATTCTGTTAATGCCGAAGAGACTGACCCATTCACCGAATTCCTCCGTTCTTGCAGGATCTGTTTGGCGTGAGTCTGGTGGTGCCGTTGCTGCATCACCACCTCACCACGCAGCTGGGGGCGAGCCACCTCGTGGCAGGGCTGCTGGGTACAGCGTCACGCGCCACGCTGCTTCATCACTGCGCCACATCACACTGCACTGCACCACACTGCACTGCACCCCCAACTCACACTGCATCACACTAGATCAGTGTTCTTCCCTAATTTTCAGGGGGGAGGGGGGGGGGCACTTTCGTCGATGAGACATCATCAGTGTGTGAGGGCCGCCACCCGTTTGAAACCATTGGGGTATGACAGCAGCACGACGATGATGATATGTTGTGTATTGTTGGGGGCCGCACGTCAGCGGCCGCACTCAAGGCCACCAGGGGCCGCCAGTGGTGCGAGGACCTTGCAATGAAGAACACTGCACTAGTTACATCACACACTACGCTCCATCACAGTGTAACACGCTGCACTACGCTGTACTACACTGCACTGTCTGGCCAGGTGGCACCGTGACTGGGGGCGCTTGAGTCGACTCAGCCAATGATCCCTCCATGGGCTGGCCTTGTCATGACAATGTGGAATTGACACCACTGGCTCAGGATGACTCTCAGAGATGAGCGCTGCCCCACATTGCTCGTTCGAACAGGGGGCACTTGGTCCTTTCTACGCTGAATTTTCTGTTCTGCTCCGTTACCCTTCAATGGTCTGCACTGCACCGTGCAGCACTCTGCTGTTCAGAAATGGGTTAAACTGCGGCGACACTGTCATGGTTGGCTACGTACGGTGTGAAAGAAGTTCAACATACATACGTACGTATATAGAGATCGCAACTCCCTGGCTTGCAGAAGCCTACTCGCAGTGTAGCGCAGAGCCACGTTATCTCATTCTGAAGCCCTCTTGTCCTGGCCAGCAGACCTCGACATTGGCACTTAGAATTCAAATATGAGTACCGTACAAAATAATTGTAGGATGCTGCCACCACTCTTGCGATCCAGAGGTGGCCAGTCCAAACAACGGTGCAAGCTTTTCTTAATTTCATCCCCAACACCTGTGTGCAGTTTAACACGTACTAGGCTTTCACCTACCAATATCCATAATAAATGTGTTTTTGGGTTATATCACGTAAATATAAATGTGTCTTTAAACCCGCCACCACGTAAACAAAACTTTTACTGTTGTGGGTTTACTCTCCAGACATGGTTGTGCTGCAGTAACTAATTAGCACGTTTTGTTTCCATGACAAACGTTACTAATTGGCTGTGTCGTGTGGTGACAGGTTTAACGACATTTTTATATGCATTCAATCTAATCGGAGAAACCTCTGTTGCACCCTGCAGTGTAAACGGTTCACCACAGTGAGTCGATCGGCAGTTCTCGTGTGGCGGTGTAAAGTGTGGGTAACTCCCACCTCCTCCAAGGATGTCTGGCCAGCGTGGAAGAGTAGGCCAAATTACTAACTACGAGGGCAGCTCCGGAGCACACCTTCTTTTAGTGGTGCTCCTTCCGCCAGCAAAGGTGCGAGCAAGTAAATTGCATGGCTGCCCCTTTGCCGACGCAAAAAAAAATTGACAGCCCGTCGTGTGTACGTGTCGCCCGTGGTGCATTTTCAGGGTCCGTGTACGGATTCCTCCAGCTCTTCTCCAGCCCCATTGTGGTGAGCAATGTCTTTAGTTTGCAAGCTCGTGTGTTTTGTATGTGTGTCTGTGACTGCAATCCCAATTGTGCTGGCACCCCGCTAACAACTTTGGGATTGATTTCTGAACCTGTCCTCGGCCTCGCATGAGTGGGTATGGTGCTCGCCACATCACCCTGCCATGTGCTGTGTTGGCCTGAATGTGTGTTTGCCAATATCACTTAACCCCGGGCCTCTGTATGAGTCAGCGGTGAAGGTGTTCATTGAGTGATCTGTGTGCGTGTGTATATATGTATGTAATATATGTTGAACTCCTTTCGCACCGTACTTAGCCAACCGTGATATTCGGAGGTGCGGGGGAAGGAAAACAAACTAAATACAAAGAGCAGTTCTCTTTAAATGCGTTTTCATTCTATGTCTTTGTGCGGAGAGTGGTGGAGCAGTGGTTATCACGATGCACTCGGAACCCAGCAACCCGAGTTAAATTCTCACTCACGGGAAAACCAGTGAAAATGATCTTAACCAATCACAATGTGTAAACCTTGCCACTAGGGAGACAAAGGCGGCCGGGCATGGTCTTTGCCAATCACCCGCGCGTGTGCCATTTTGCTCTCAATATGTGCTCACTGACAGCACTTGCCCTAGCGGTCTGTTTAAGGATACACGGGGGTGGGGGGGGGGGGATCTTTATCTCTGTGCGTGGAACTGTGTGCAGGGCAGATGGAGCGACGTGCCCGGCTGCCGTCGCCGCTGCCTGGTGCTGTGCCTCTTGTCCTCCGCCACGGGATACTTCATACAAGGCCTGGCAAGCAGCCCGGTGGGGATGTCCATCGCGAGGGCGGTGTTAGGTCAGTGATGCCCTTGCCATTATCCCCGCCCGCCACGGTTACAGCTTCCTGTGATGACCAACCAACAGGTGCGTGCAGTACCTCGCCTGACGAGGCTGGTTGTTGTGATTACCGCCGAAACTTCGTGCTGCGTTGTAAATGTTGTGGGTTCATTCTCCAACACACAGCCGGTGTGCTGAACTAGTAACTAATTGGCACGTTTTGTTTACGTGACAAACCTTACTAATTGGCTTTGTCGGGTGGTAGCGGGTTTCACGACACATTTATATTTACACGACCTAGCCCAAAGAAAACCCTCCATTACGAATATCGGTTGCGAAAGCCTACTACGGGTTAAAGTGCTTTGTTTATATGCTCCATTGGCTTTTACCCAGGAAAGCCTCACCTCTACCGAAATTCTGAGTTCTGGTAGTGCATGTGCCAGTGAGGGAATGGAGAAACGGAACCGAAGGCTCAGGGGAGACGAGGCTATTTAGGAAGAAGCTGCTGCAGGGAGCAGCATCTGGGTTTCATAGGGGGCGGCGGAGAGAGCGGAGGGATTCAGAGTGGGGGTGGCCACAAAGAAGTCGCGTGTGATTTATGGGAGGCTTGAGCTGGTTTGGGTATTGCTGTGCTGTGGGAAGAGAGAGGCCATCGAAGCGATGACTACTGGAGCGGCTGTGGGTTGTAATGGGCACAACACGACCAGCAGTAGCTACCGAGACCACGCTTAGGCATTGGATCCTTGTTAATGAATAATTGCAAATCCTCAAAGCGTTGGTCGGTAAATTATTTTGGGCTCAAGCCCATTGAGCTAGGAAGATCGTTTTTGAAAGGTCAAAAACTGGTAACATTTAAAGTACCTAAGTCATATTTAGGATTCTTAAGGGTTTAGTGAAAAATACCCAATGACTTGAAAAGACAAATTAAGGCAACCCCATTGATATTTGTTCATCGCAGCAGGATGAACGTGCCCAGAAAATCCGTGCATTTAAATTCCCATGCTGGACGTTCACATCGCTGTGTTGGGCTTAGACACATAGGCATGTCTGAGCCGTGCACCATTTCCTGTTGCCACTGTGTTGATCAAAGGACAAACATCCCCCATATAGTCTTAGCAGATTGTTCGAGGAAATTGCTGTTAGCGAGCGCCTATGAAGGTCAGCACGACACACAACGGGGTGGGTGGCCAGCACCACACGCCTTTGTCTCCTTAGTGGTGATGTTTACACACTGCACCAGGCAGTCATTTAAGACGGAGTTGACCAAGGGGAGGCCCAGGACCGATTCAGATAATCATCACTGGTGTTGGCCTGGAGCGGCAATTGAACTCGGGCAGCCTAGTTTGTTGCGCAGCGCGCTAACGGCTGCAATACTGCTCCCCACACTGTGCTGATCTCTACACGCGCACGCACACGCACACACACACACAGGTGTGTCTAAGCACACGCAGTCTCTGAGCCGGGGGCTGTTGTCTGTGTCGGCGCCGGGCGAGCGAAGGCCCGTGCTGCTCGGGAGGTTCAACGCCGTGAGCGGCCTGGGGTTCGTCGTGGGCCCGGCGTGCGCGGGGCTCATCGCCGAGCAGCCAGGGGGGTTCGCCGCCCTCTCCTTCCTGTGTGCGGCGCTGTTTCTCATCAACGCAGGTAACGCATCACGGCGTCGGCTGTAGGCGCGCCTCCACCGCTGCCGTTGGGTAAAATAATTTGTGCCCATCGCACGTTCATATTCGATTGCAGCCGAATAACTTTCATTTCCCACGTTTGCTCAGGCATCGTCTACCTCTTCCTACCCGACCCCGAGACTGGCCAAGGGGTGCAGACCTCGGCTAAAGCCGCCAAACACCTTGCGGAAACCGCGCTGCCGCACGACGCTCCGGCTCGTCGGGACGACGATCAGGTGCACGGCACCGAGACGCCTTTCCCTGACGACGATGAGGAGGAGAACCCGTCGCAGCGGGCATCCCGCGGGCGGTGCCTGCACGCTGTGCGCTTCCTCATGTCGTGCGCGTACCTGCTGCACCACGGTGCATTCGCGTCGTGGCTTCGCACGCGCCACGACGCGCCTCCCCGTCTCGTGGGGGCGCTCGTCTCGCTCTCGGCGGCCGCCGGCGCCGCCACCTCATCGCTCGCCCGCGTCTACGACGCCGGCCCCTCCCCGGAGGCGACGCTGCGGGTCACGTGCGCGGCGGCGGCCACCGCCATGCTGGCGTTGGCGACCGGGGCGGCCGGGCTGCCGGGAGCCGCCGCCTGCGCCGTGGTCCTATCTGTGTCGAGCGCCGTGGGCCGCGTCGTCCTCACGGAGGGCCAGCTGCGCGTCGCCGGCGCGGGCGGCGCGGGGGCCACCCTCGGGCTGGGCCAGGCCGTGACGTCGGCCGCCAGGGTGCTGGCGCCCGCGCTGGGGGGGGCGGCACAGCACCGCGGGGGCGCGGCCGCCCCCGCGGCGCTGGGGGCGGCGTGCGCCCTGGTCGCGACGGCGGTTACGCCGAGCAGAGCGCCGGCAGGCAAGGTGAAACGCAGCTAGCGGGCGGCGGTGCCGCTGTGCTAGCGGGCGGAGGAACCGCGCGCGGAAGGAACGGCGCTGTCCCAGGAGCCGGTGCGCAATTGCTCATCTGAGATAATACGTTTTTTTTTTTTTCTCCCAACGAGACATTTTATTGCACCAAGGAAGTCGTTTGCTGTTGTTAATTAACGTACTGATGATATAATCGAGATAATTGTTTTGCACAGACAGCGTCGGTCCAAGTTGAATAGGTGTGGCGAGGGGCATGTTAGTGAGAAGCGTTGAAAGATGAATCTACCGAATATGAAACGTGCCCAGATCTGATCGTGCTGTCCAGGTCGCGACTATGTACGATGCACAAACGACAAACGGTCGTAAAATCCAAGACCTGATCTAGAGTGAAAGTGCCTAGTTGAGATCGCGGCGCTGTTTACGAGTGTGGCAAAGGCAAGTCATGGAGGTTGGAAGTAATAAGCATCCAAACATTATAGCAGGGAGTAAAACTGCTATTGAATTCCATTTTCTTGGATCATGCATAATAAACAATGGTGGAAGCAGTAGATTCAAAGAAGGCTGTGGATGACAAGATCAGCTTTGGCACTGCTGATCATGAATTAATGAATTATTATTATACGTGCCAATATCACCCTCAATAAAGTAGGCATGAGGGCACATTACAACAGATCGAAAACGATACAGGGGGCATGGGACAACAGGAATGAGAAAGGAAACCCGTCACGACCTCAGTGGCTATCACCGACTGAGCAAAATAAATTGCAACCACGCAGAAATAGTATACGAAAAGTAGTAAATATAAATTAATAATAAGTAAAGAAAGCGTTTCCCTCCCCGCCCCCCCTTCAATTTTAGATTTTATGGGAAGGCAAGTTGGAATTATTTTATCTCTTGTGCAAACGTACGGTTTAACAAGTATTCCAGATCGCACTTTATCGATGTGAGTCCTGGTTCCTTAATAAAAACAGACATGGAACACAAAATTATAAATCGTGTGAATTTTTGTGTTGTTTTATTTTTACGCTTGTTTATCCAGGAAGCCTCGCACCGAGTCTCGTGACTCTTTTTCAGGAGGGTCCTGCCAGGTTTTCGCAAGAGATGGCGATGTTGTGCTGGAGGGGCGTTTGCTGCGAATTTTGTTGACTGAAAGCAACCTTTTTGTGCCGGTCCAAATAGGACGCCCAGATAGCTTCTTAAACATAATAAATCCTGAGGAAGTTAAGAATATGTATGGCTTGTAACTAGATGACATGGACACAACACGGAAATATTGGTCATGCTGTGTTAAATGTAAGGGTAATTAACTCGAGGTCAGAGTAAAGAAGATTACTGAGGGGTTCATAACATAGAAAGGGGAATGCCTACACCTTGAGAACTGGAAAACAACTGCCAGGGGAATCACCGAGTGCCGATAACGACCTCCAGACAATGAACGAACTCGCAGGAACGAGGAATCTCCACCACTGGCTCGTGGCCACCAGCGGAGAGGAGTGTCGCTTTTTTGCTCAGCTCAGCAGAAAGACTCGGACTTTTATCAAAACAGCATTGTATACGTGTTGCTGTTTCATCAGAACCACAAAAAAGAGTTGCTTATCTGGCTACAGAATCCAAGCTGGTAAACGGTGTGTTTGTGGCTCCTTTCGGAAGCAGCCGAGCCCTAAAAATAAAGCGAAGGGTTTGTGAGCATGCGGTCAGGTCCTAGTTTGAGCCCTTCAGATGGCCTGTGTTGTAGGACTGGGCCGTATCGTTTGTAAAAAAAAAAACGTGTAATTTGTAATGCATGCGATATTCCACGGACATAAATGACCGTTACTCTGAGGCGCGGAGCCAAGCTCATGGTGACGCTCCAAAGCCAGGTGAGAGGGGTGGGGGCCTTTTAAGTGTCTCTTAAAAGTCGGAGTGGATTGAACGCTGTTGCTGCAAACGTGCAGTGAGGACGATGGCCACGTTCCAGACGGCAGGGAATCGCCACGGAGAAACGAGGCCCAGCAGTGGCCATGGCCCCTGGTCCTTGGTGTAGAGGAGGGGGGTTGTGAGTCACTCCGCTGCGGAGAGTTCTACCCTGAGTCGTAGTACAGGTTGACCGCAAGTAGAGTTAAACTATAAACAAAAACTTTTTTTTATTTTACCAGGTAAGGCCCACTGAGCTATATAGCTCTTTTTCAGATGCGACCTGGCCACAAATGACAGCTCAACGAAGTGGCTTATGCGAAAATGAATAGGCAAATACCATTCTTTCCTATGGCATGTAAGTGTCGTGACATCGCGGATGTCACCGTGTAATGCCGGCTCGAGAGAGGCACGGCTTGCGGGCACCACGTGGATGTGGGTGCAGTACTGGCCCTAGAGGGGCTCGGTGAGCACTGACTGGCAGTGCTGGATGGCACCACGCTCTGCGTGCAGTGCCGACCGCTACAGGATGGGGTGTCAGGGTGCGGGCCAAGGGAATGGGGTTACTAGAGGTCATGGCACTCTGGTTGACCCTAGAGGACACGTGACCGATAAAGTCTACACAGGGGCCCTAGGTGGGGGCTAGGGGTGGTCACGTGTCAGGGTCGAGATCCTGATCGAGGGTTCGAGAAGGTGGTCGTGGCTAAGGGCGGAGCCAGCCACGCGGCAGAGGATATAAGCCGGGTTTTTGAGAGGGACCAGCTGCTGTTGTTCATCCTGAAGAATCTTCGTTCTATGTCCTACAAGAGTCACCAACACGTGGACCGGGACCCAAGCTAGGGTCCGGTCCATCGTAGGTAGTTCCAGTGTAATTAGTGCAGTTAGCCTGGTGGCCCACCACCATAGGTTGCTATCAAGAAGTACGTCTGCAACTCAGTTGAACTCACTACATAGGCAACAGTTTGTATCGATGTCATAGTTGAATTTTAAGGTCCTTCAATAAATCCAAGGCGGCAGTCGCAGCGATACCGCCAGGGTGTGCATAGATGGCGCACTCGTTGGTGATGTGTTTGATGGTTTGGGCTTTGCTACAGTCGCAGATTGGTGAATATAACATTTTCCATTTATGGAACGTGTACGCGTCACATCTCCGAAGCTTCGTCCGAGCGCAGCTCAGTGTGGTCCACAGCCGGCGTGAGAGAGAGAGAGTCCTGGTACATCCACGGTCGGGTCCTCAATGATGTTCGTAGCCGCCCACCCTTCAGACCATCGAGTGCCGGTGTCTTTATTTTCAGCTGCCACAGCGGAGGCGCGTATCCAGAAAAGCTTCCTGGATATAAGTCTTGGGCGTGGGGTTTCCGTTATGTCTTGATGGAGCAACAGAGTGAAATTTTCCATGATCTTGTACTTCCGGATCGTCATGGCATCACGCCAGCACAGGAAGCCACGGGAGTGGAGTGGACTTCAGCCAAATAATCTAAATGCATGTTTCTAAATGTGGAGTGAAAAAAACCCGGAGGACCCGGAGAAAAATCCACGAGATCACGGGGCGAAGATGCATACACCAAATACACAGGCGTCAGGGTCGGGTTTGAACCCACGACCTACCTACATACCAGGTGAGGTAGTTAACATCTCGCCACCGAGTTACGGCGATGGTGAGAAACGCAGCGAGCCTCGCCGAGGCGGCACTGAAGCTACCGCTCGACCTTTGGAGGCGACGCCATTTGGCCGATAAGTCACCGGGAGAGTCCGAGTGACACCCTCCAGCAGTAGCTCTCTTGTCGTCGGGGGAGCCGTAGGGCCACCTGCTTTCAGGGGCGAGACCCTGGCTGGCCACCGTGCCAGGCTCATCACTGGTGGCCGAGGTTTTGGACAAACTACGTGAACCCTATCCACCTCTTTGGGACCGGACTGAACAGTTCGAACAGGGGTTGGAGGGACTTCTGAACTGAAACTCCCGACGTACTTTCTGTAACCACTTGAACGAGACATGACCTGTCAACCCATACGGTTTACCCCGTATTCTTGTACAGGGAAATTGAGTTTTCAGGTCCATGCGGCGTACAGCCGTTTCAATACGGGCAACGTTTTTTGTCTATTTGTGTTTCTCCCTTGTGATGGGACTTTGTAGGATGAACGCTGAGATTTATAAGGGCACGGGGTGACCAATAAAATCTAAATTGGTCTGTAATAAGTCGTCCATACAAAATGTGAATTGCTTTAAAGTAGCGAATTAATTTATTAATTGGTGTCGATTTTGATACAGGCATGCATCGTCACCGGATCTGAGTACGTATGCAAAATTTTGAATTGATTGGACAACAGGAAGTAGACAAAATTTTGATTACAAGATTTGACCACGACAAACATTGGAGTCGAGTTCAGTAAAACCGTTGAATAAGAGGGCACTGGGAGGGGTTAATTAATTTTTAGTTGAGAAAATAACGTCACGTGCCTGACTGTTGGGCTCGTGAGAAGACGGTGCCCTCTTCCGGAAGGGGGAGATGGAGAGCTACTGAACTTTGCGATGGCTTCTGGAAGAAGAAGAGGGTGGAGCAAATTAACCCCTCTGCCATTTTCTGAAAGGGGAAGCCGGCAGTGCAAATGAACCCCTGTGCCACCTTCTGTAGAATAACAGCACCTGAACGCCGTGCCGTCTACCGGAAGACGGGAAGGCGGTGGAGATCACCCGAACGCCGCTTCGTCTTCTGGAAGAGGAAGGAGAAGGGGCGTGGTGTCCTCTTTGTGCATCCGGGGTGAAGGAAGCGCGTGGTCGTCATGGCGGCGAGCGACGAGGAGCGGTTCGATGGCATCCTACTGGCCATGGCGCAGCAGCACGAGGGCGGCGTGCAGCAGGTGAGGAGGAGGAGGTGGTGGTGGTGAGACGACGAGGGGGAAGACTAGAGATGAGGAGGTTGTCGAGTGAGAGGAGGAGGAGTCGGCGGTGGCCACGCGCCCTGCAGCCGCGTAGTGAATTCCCCAGTGTAGATGCGCTCCGACGAGAATGCATGTCTACGGCTCTACGGCCCTAACGCCTTACCTCGTCGTTGTCAACTTTTTTGCCCCCCGTGTTTGCGATCCACGCGCGCCGAGGCATTCGTCCGTGCTTCTGCATTACACGGCGCTACGCGTCCTGGAACGTTCGACGGTTCGCAGAGGAAAACCACGACCACAGAGATCGCGAAAGCTTCTCGATTATTCCGCGGTTCACATTCGCGAATCCGTAGTTGGTGGATTTCATAGCTTGCTCCCAAGTCGATTGTCGATCATAATTTACAATTTTTAATTCACGGTATTAACGTATTGACTTTGTAACGGTCGTGTTAACGTATACAACGTGGAATTGTACAATACGGTATCGCAATGACTTGGCCAAATGGTCACACAGTTATATTTCTGGGAGCATTGGGCTGCGCTAGTGGCCTCAACGGGAGTTGCAGCTCGCCAGACAAACCCCCTGGGGTGTTATAAATGGACTAGCTTTACCACCCGGCTTCGCCCGGATCCACCACGCGCGGCCGCCTTTGTCTCTCCCCAGAAGTTAGTCGTTTTGAGGCTGAGTCGACCTAGGGGAGGGCCCAGGAGCGGGAATCGAACTCGGGTCGTCGAGTTTCGTAGCATCGGCGCGCTAACCAATACACTGCAATGCGTTAGGCTTCCACACAGACACACAGACAGACACACACAGACACACAGACATATACACACAGACACACAGACAGACACACACAGACACATACACACAGACAGCGTGCTAACCAATACACTGCAATGCGTTAGGCTTCGACACAGACACACACACAGACACACACACACAGACATACACACACAGACAGACACACACAGACACATACACACAGACAGCGTGCTAACCACTACACTGCAATGCGTTACGCTTCCACGTGCGCGGGTCACGTGACAGATTTGACGTCACAGCTCACTTGCCGTGCAAAAAATATGCATTATTGAGCTCCCCCCCCCAAAAAAAGAGAAACCCACAAAAGTGTATTTTTATAATTTTTGCATTTCAAATTTGTTGCATGTCGGGAAGTACGCTAAACGTTTGGAACAGACACATATTCACAACTTT